GGTCACCACTGCCTCCTTCAGCTCGTGTGTCCACCTACCTTCACGTGTCCTCCTTCAGCTTTAGATTTTTATTATTTTTGTTTGGCAATTTTTTTTTTCATTTTGTAGCTTTTTTTGCATATTTTATTTAAAAAATTTTCTGTTCATTTTTTCAGCTTCATTTTTTGTTATTGAAATTGCTGATGTATTACAAATAAATAGTTGAAGTTATTGCTTTAGATCTTGGGGAATCTCTATTTATATGTCGTCATGCTGTCAATTTTTTAAATTTCAAAACATAAATTATTTGATTAAAGCATAACTTTTATTTATTAATTGTATAGTTGATTATATTTGATAATCGTGCATTGAATTTAATTTATTAAAATTATTGATTTATTAGAAACCAATAGAGTGATTACGAGGCTTTAGTGTCCAAGGAATCTCATTTATAAATGGCTCCTTATTCTCTTATATGGACCCATTTTTTGCCACAGGTCAGTCTGGGAGCTATGGTGAAAAGTTTTCATTTACTATCACATAACCTTTTACTACACATCATTTTTTGTTGCAAAATATGTCTTTTAACTATGGCAAAAAAATATTTTCACTAGTGCGGATTCCATGTTTCAAAATTCACTTTTATGGCTTCTTGGATGCACATATGGAAGGTCCATTTTTTCCCCTTAAAAAAAAAAAATCCAAACAACATCTCACCTCCAAAAAGTGACATAAGTGTGGGTTGTTAGATTCGTAAACAAGACTTTAAATAATAGTTGAGTGACGAAACATTTGATTTGATCTAGCTAACAATAATGCAAAAATCTCCAAAAATGCACACCTATTGGAAGGCGTTTTACAAGCATTAAAACAACATACAAAAGATAAAGAGAAAATGTTGTACTTTCATCCTAACAGAGATAGGTGTTTCTTTTTATGCAACTAAATTATGTTTTTAGTTTCACATCTTTTTTAATGGAAGTTTTACATCTTTTATTAAAATTGTCAAATTACTATATTAAAATTGTCAATTAATGTTGAATGGTTAATAGTAACATTATTCGATTGACGACTAAAAGTAATAGATTTTAGAATAATTTTATAATTTTGTGAAACTTTTATGTATTTAAATCTTAGTATAAAATCTGATAATGATCTTTTCTTTGTTCAATGAGGTTGAAGAGCTAATTGCCCAACATCTATTCACGATGCTGGTAAGTAAAGCAAAATCCTCTGATCCTTTGTTTTCTCTGTTTTTCAACAATGGATGGTAGTAGTTCTTTTGATTCTCATTTTTGGGTCATCTTCTATTTTTTAGGTATAATCATTCGGTGTTCAAAGTCGACGGTTCCAACTAATTCAAATTCAAGCACTATGACACCCCAAATGAGAGGTGGCTCTCCCAAGCATATTTTATTCATTCTCATTGCCTCAAAAATCAAACTCAAGAGCTAATGGTTAAGGGAATTTAGATCCCTTACCATCAAGCTAAGATGCATTGGTTTTGCGTCATTTTTTTTATCCTTATTAATATTGATTAGCTTAAGAATGTTTTGGGCTTGCAGAACGAGGAAGGAAAACACATCCAAGAGGCCAAGGTTCAATCAATTGCGAGGAGTGGCAATATTTAAGTAAAATAGACCCTTTGGTAAAATGATGCATTACCTCCACAACTTGTAATAGTGAACACAAAGCCTCACACTAGTGTGACTTTGTAACACTGACCCTTTATCTGGACATAGGTTTGGTCATAGCTCTAGGTTGAGGCGAAGAAAAAACTGAAGCTTATAAATTAAAATTGACAAATTTATCATTGAGTTACTGCTCTGCTAAGCCTATAATTTTTGCTAAACTTTAAAAAATCATAACTAAATCTTGAAAATTTATATGAGGATAATTTAAAATTCTATTAAAAGCTCTTGAAGTCCTTTACAGAAAAAAGAAAAACATTATAGCGGTTTGAGAGAGAATTGCTACTATTGTCAAGTCTATATAAAACACGTACCTCCTTTTTTCACTTTTTGACTTTTGGCAAAATTTCCTATCAACTCTACGTTCTGAAATCTCTCGCCTATCCACAATGCTTTCAAGAATGCTTGCTCTCATACTCCTCATGTTCAACGATGTAAAGCTTAAAATAGGACATAGAAGTAAGGATTGAAGCTTTAAAGGCAACCACAATCAAGAATTGAAGTTGCCCACAAGAAAAATTGAAAAGAAAAAACAATGAACATCAAATGCACAATAGAATTTGAAAAATAGAACCAAAAAAAAAAGGGGAAGTAGTTGGAGCACATGAGCACAAGGGAGGGAGGGAGGGAGAAGATGAAATACTTGGCCACAAGCACGATTCTAGGTTTGAAGCTTTGCAATTCTAGATTTAATTTGAAGCCTGATTCAAGTTTGAAGATGGGGTGATTTCAAGTGGGAGAAGATACAGAAAGGAGAGAGAAGGTGAAGATGATGGAACATAAAGCGAAGATGACGGAGCACGAGGCAAAGGTGACTTTAGATTTAGATTTGGCTAGTCGTTCACAAGATTTCGAGTGAAAGGGAGCGGAGAGGGAGATGCACGAGCAAGATGTTCTACAATGACAATGAATTGATGCAAGAGTTTTTTGAAAAATTCTGAAGCATAACTGATCTAGAAAGTAATTAAAAATTAATTTTTTTAAACATTTTAAAGCCTTTTAGACTGGTTTTTATGAATAACTGGATCAGAAACTTATTTAAATTCTAATAAAAATATTAAAAAGATTTCTAAATTGGGTGTCAATAAAAATGGTCTAAATAAGCAGTTAAAAATTTAAAAAAATTCTTGAAAAAATTTCAAAAATTTTTCAAAATGGTTTTCAAGTTAACCAATTTGGAAAGTACAAAAGTTTAATTTTTTTTTCCAAAAAAAGTCACATTTTCCAAATCGGTTATCATGTAAACTGGTCTAAGAAGTATTATTAAGACCGGTTCCCAATGTAATCGGTTTAGAAAATTTTAAAACATGCTTTATAATTATGATAATATCACCGCCTCTCCTTTTTAAATTGCCTTTGCAACAACCAGTTTAAAAAGTGAACTTTAGATTACTATTCTTTTACTAGTGCATTAGTCAAGTAAAATTTTATTTTTAAAGTTACAATGTCTAAAAAACAATTTATCTTCTATTTGTATACAAATAATATTATATCAATTGTAACAAGAGCTTGGATGAAGAATGACGTCAAGGGAAACCAAATAATTTGATTAAATGTTTAATGTATTTTAAATTCATTGAATGTAAGTTAAATATACTAAAATTTGAGCAAATATGAATGAAATTGTAAAAAATCAATTTTCAAATTTTCATAGCGGTTTACCAAATAAACCGCTACAATATTTTAGTTTCATAGCGGTTTTGGAAGACAATCGCTCCGATGGACATTCTAGCGATTTCACTGGAACCACTACTACCAAAAGCAATGCATTCACACTTATGATATAGTGATTTAGAGTGGACTGCTACCCGAATTTCTGCCGGAACTACTACAACATTTAGAATCACTAGAGTCAATAATTCAGGTGGATTGGGCTTATTTGAGTCGGGCTCAATTTGGTCGGGTTTATTCAGATCGCATTTAAAGTATTCTACCTTCTTAATAAAAGCCCACATAATCAAGTTCGGCCTTAACTTTTTTGGGCTACGTTCGGAATGGCTTATCAGGTTTAGCTAAAATTACCTATTTTACATATACATACATATATACATACATATATATATGTATATATAAAGCCAAAAAATTCAATAGTCAGGATTATTCAAGTCGGGTTTAATTTGGATCGGGCTTATTCGGATCGAACTTAAAGAATCATACTCCTTTAAAAAAGCCTATATAGCCAAACCTGACCTTAACCTTTTTCAAGTGGGTACGAACTCGCCTGAATTGTCAGATCTAAGAATCACTATCCAAATTGCTACAGCCCATAAAAACCTACCGCTCCCCTTCCCATTTGCTCGTTTACTTTCTTTCTTCCCCATCCTCTCCATTCTCTGCTCTCCAATGTTGCGTTTCTGTTGGGGCTTGGTAAGTTTTTTCTTTATCTTATCTTATTTATTTTGTTTATTTCTATATTTAATTAATAGTGTTTGATTTATTTATTTGTTTTATTTCATCTAATTTCTTTTCCACCATTTAAAATCTTTACTAATAATTTTCTTCTTCTTTTTCAGGTTTCTCCTACCCAATACTCCAAATTTATTTTTTTAGTTTTTAATTTGATAAAATATATTTTATCATTAAATATTTAAAATAATGCCAGTAAAAAAATATTATATTAAAAATAAAATATTTAATAAAATATAATTAATTATATTTAATAAAATATACATGTAATATAATAAATATTCAAAATAAAATATAAATGTAATATACAAATTAAATATGAATTTTTTTAAAAATAAAATATTGAAAACTAGTTATTTTTTTAAATATTGTAGATATTTAGTACCTGTTCCTGAACAACAAGCGTTGAAATTTTAAAATTTTGACAAGATCGTTTGTAGCAGTTCTTCTGAAAATTTAAAATTTCAAACCTAGCTAGTAGCAGTTCAAGAATTGCTACTTGAATTGCTACCACCGTTGGCTATCTTTTTAAAAGTTTCACATTTCGTAGCAGTTATGTAAATCGCTACCAAGTTTGTGCCAAAAATACAAACTAATCTACTAAATTTTAACTCAAATTTTGTTTTGGGTGTAGTGGTTTATCCGAACCACTACATATCTTGTAACAGTTTGACTATAGTGATAGAAGTTTGGGAAACCGATACTATATATCTCATTATGCTTTGTATAATAGCAGTTTGCCAAACTGCCACTAACATCTATGGTAGCAGTTTAACTGCTACTAAATACTTTTTTTTTTTTGGTAATGATTGAAAACACTCTTCTCTTGCACACATCGTGCGCGTAAGGTGATTTACCATTTGATGCCAACAATTTTATAAATGTATTTCGTATCCAATATGTATGGGCTTACAAATTGGCTCAACTATTTTAACAAATCTACCTAGTTTCTATAATAAATGCCATTATATTGTGAAAAGAAACATAGTTGATAACCATGCCTTTCTTTTCGCCATCAACATTAATACCAATTTATTACTTACAATGATAGCGCATAGCCCCCCGGGGACCCGGAGGGGGGGGGACTACTTATCATCGGCTTTCTAATAATTGGCTAACAGTTATAATACATAAGTCTCCAAACATGCTTACCCACAGGAAATACTATCTTTCTCTTGCGACACGAAAGGAAAATTCGGTGTCGTTTAACTCTCCTACAAAACATGAAAGGGGGAAATTAATATTAGTAATAGCAAAAATCTTGGGGGAAAAAAAAAAACTAATATAGAAAGAAGAGGCTGACCTTGTCCCTTTCATCGAGTTATTGAACTTTTTCAGGAACTTGCTGGGTGGTTCATTAGAAGCATTGGCTCTTCGTTTCAGTGAAGATGTTGGAGCATTCATGGAAAGCTGAGAAGACTTGAACCGCAAATTCTCCATGTTTGAGTGTTGTGTGTACACATAAACTCCACAGCGAACTACAGGCATATTTGGTGTTAAACATGTGACTTGTATTTCCACATCATTCCAATCCAATTCGTGAAAGTTCCTAATTTGAAGCCTCTTGAGGTCTTCTGCTCCCTCAAAAGTCCTTACTATATGATATAAATGCACATGACCTTGCGTCATCAGAGAACCTTCATGTGTCTTTAGTATTGCATGACCATTGGTACTCATACAAATATCAAAGGAGAATCTCTCGTTCGTATTGGCTTTTCCCACCTCAAATGCATGAGGGAAATTCGACCCGCGAGCACGAAAACACAATTTCCCTCCTTCACACCAATTGTGGAACCAATCAGGAAATGCTGTTGTTGTTGCTGGCATTGTGATGCCCATGCCAAAGAACTCGTTCTTCGCCTGATTTACCAATTATAAAGACGTTTCAGATTTGAAAATTCTCATTTTCATCTCTAATTGTAAGAGCTTGTTCATCAGAGATACATTTTAGGATAACTTAGTCTCTCATTCTTCAAAATGATTTCATTCTCACCTTTCTATCCTTCCGCGTCCTTTAATTAAGTTCATACCTAACAGATCAAAATGCTCCCACCAATCTCAGGCAAACGAGGAACTACTAGAGGAAGAAGAATAACAAGTTCACGAACCAAATCCTAATTTTATGGCTGTATTATCTTGCACATGCGAGCTATTTGCTTAGGGTGAATGGTGACATGTGAGCAAAAACTTCAACTCGAATACCGATTAACTTGGACGTTATAATTTGTGGATAGAGATAGCAATCCGACTAATTAATAAAATTAAATAAAATAATGGCTAATGAATTGAATAAGAAATGAACATTGATGATTATTTTGAGAAAATAGAGAAATCAAGATTCCAAATCAAAGTTTTGATGAACAGCTATCGTCACACTTGTATCTAATTTGATTTTTCATCTTTAAAATAGCGAAAGATAATAACAAAGTGGAAAATATATGCATGAGAAATACCTGAGACCATATATGGCCTGATGACTCGTTAGTTAATGATGTGCAATTCTCTGCTTGAACGTTCAAATGCAATGGCAGCTCTGGTATGTGTCTTAATCTCTTGCAGTTATTCAGTGTCAAGAACACCAACTTAGCACATTCTTTAATGCACCCAGGAAGCGACACAAGATCATTATTTCCTGATAGATTTAACTGCTCCAAATTCTGAAATATATTCAGAGTTAGGTGAAGATCTTCATCCAATAGACCACAATAGCTTAGATTCAAGAATTCCAAGTTTGCACTAAATCTAACAACTTCTGGTCTCTCATGCATTAGTTTCTTCAAAGATTTTCTGCTGCGACGTTGAGTGCCTTCCAGAATAAGGAAGTTAATATTTTTCAAGGCTAATAAGCTGTTTGGAAGATCCCTAAGACTTTTGCAGGACCTTATATTTAGTAATTCAAGGCTTGGAAGATTTCCAATGCAAGGTGGGAGCTCTTTAATAGCGGTCTCATTTGCCGAAATACACTTTAGGGCATCCATATTTCCCGCTACACGTGGGAAGTAATCAAGACTCTTACAATTACTGAGATCAAGACTTTGAAGAGATGGCATCTTGATTTCACGTGGAAAGCCTGTGAGTTTGATACATCCACGAACATTTAATGTCATCAGCATAGAGAGAGATCCCACCGAATCATGAACTTTGATCAAGTTGCAACAGTCTTTAAACAGCAATCTTGTTAAACTTTGGAATTGAGACATCTCAGGTATTTCTGTTATGAATTCACATTGTGAGAAATTCATATATGTCACAAATTCAAACCTCTGCCCAAAAAAAAAAAACCAAAGAAAGAAAGAAAGGATTATTTAGTTAACAGTAATTACAGGAGATATCATTTTTGTGTAAATTAAAATGATCCAAATCTCATTCCTATTTGGAAGTCGTGTATATATATGCTTCCAAAGGATAAAAGAAGTTAGCTATGTGACAGGGAATGGCTTGGATGATGGAATTCAAACTTTCATATGTATCATAAAATAGAGAGAATAAGAAAAGTAGTGGCCAGAAAATACAATAAGAGATCAAGTTAATTAGGATTTAGAAACATAAGAGAAAAATATAAACAAAAATAATTATTAAATTTTATAAAACTATACAAGACTTTTTCAAATTGAATCAATTGTATGTAGCTTGGTTGCTTTAAACAGACAAGGAGATTTGTGCAGATTTAATGAAAGGTTTATAATTAGATCAGAAAATAGAAGGATACTTGAAGTAATCCATTCTTGATTTGTAAAAGAAAACAAAGCTAAACAAATTTGAACAAAAAATAATTATAAATAGCCATAAAGGTACCTTCAGTGGCTGATCCAGCCTGAAAGGACTACAACATAACTTGAAGAAAACTAGTTTCCTCGGAGAAAAATCAAGTGGTAAAGTTGAAGAAGGATATCCCTCCCACTCAAGCCATTTTAAACTATTGGGAAGATGTTTAGGACTGGTTGAAAATTGAGATTTCCGAATGATAAGAATTCTAAGATTAGTCATCTTTTCAAAGGATAAACTGCTCCACTTCACATCTTCTTGTTGAGGCGGATCAAGCATTATTCCTTCAATATTACTACTTCCCTATAATGCAACCAAAGAAGTAATGACATTTGTTGGATATGCCACATGGTACATTATACTAGATGTACATATGAGGAAACATAAAAAGGGATTCTTACCAAATTTTCACATAAAACTTTAAGAACATCTTTATAATACCATAATCTACTGCGTTTGCAAGGATCTAATGGTGCCTCATTCCTCACAATCTCTCTGCCCATTTGTTTTATCAAACCATGCATGTACAAGTGACCCTTATCATCAATAGATATCAAAGATTTATCAACAAGCACCTCAATATAAAACCATCCCCCAGAATCACAAGCTTCAACTATTTCTTCAACAGAATCCCATAAATACATTCCAAAGAAACAAGCTATATCTAGGAAAATACTCTTTGCCCCATCTTGAAGGCAATGGTAGCTTATCTTTAATACTTCATGAATTGATCTTTCCAAGATACAATCATATTGTTTCAATGTAGACCTCCATTCCTCCAAGTTTTTGTGCGCCAAATTGGCACCAATCAGTCTTAAAGCCAAAGGAAGGCCTCGTGCATAACTTATCACAACATGACAAGACATGTCATGATAGCCTTCTGGAGGTTGGCTCATATGGAATGCATGCCAACAAAAGAGTTCAAGAGAGTCATGATCATCTAGTTCCTTCATTTCATATGTTTTTTCAACATTACACGCAATTAGCAATTGCTGATTTCTTGTCGTTATGATGACTTTGCTTCCCCAACCAAACCAGTCACATCCTCCTGCAAGCTTTTCCAACTGTTCAACCTCATCAACGTCATCAAGAACCAGCAGCACTCTTTTGTGAGAGAGTCTATGTTTTATTCTTGATATTCCTTCGTCAGCACTCCCAAACTTCACTCTCTTTTCCTCAAGAGTCTCTGATAGAAGCGTTTGTTGAAGACAAACAATGCCCTGGTATTTCTTTGATGCTTCTTTGACATCAAATAAAAAGCATGCACCTTCAAATTGGTAAAAGATTGAATTATAGACAGCCCTCGCAAGGGTTGTTTTGCCAACTCCACCAGTTCCATGAATCCCCAACATACAAACACCATCATCACATTCATCTAAAAGTGACGTCACTTCTTCTTTACGAGGCTCAAGTCCAACCATATGATCAGTGTTATGGAGGCGTTTAGGAGGTAGCATAGAATATGCTTCTTCAACGATCCTTTGAATAAAACCAAATTCGTATCTACATACAAAAGAGAAAATTCAATTTTTTACTGTGAAGATAATTGATGCAAAATGTTCGCTACCTTTTATTTTCTTTTTTTTTTTAAGTTCAGTCTCATTTATCATAATTCATTCCACAACCAAACCAGTCACTTTGAAAAATCTCATTGAATCCTTCAAAGATAACATATTGATTCAATTAGCTCTCAATTCTTTTAACCCTTCACCATAAGTAAAATTTCTTCTCAAATTATAAAATTGTAAAATATTTTCTGTTCAAATGGTACCGTTTAAATAAATCCAGACGTATAAAGCCAAAAGAAGAGTATCCAAAAACTAAAATTAGAACAACTCACGATAAAGAATATAGTTCATCTTTTTTGTTTGAAAGACGGATCAAATATATTCAACTACAAAAAACAAAGTACAAACAAGAAAAACTAAAACAAATACCTTTCAAAATCTTCCCCCCCTGAATATAGTTCATTTTTCAAACTTCATTCAATGCACAAGTATTATATATGTGTGCGCGCGTGTTATATTCAAAAAGCTAATGGAATATTCTTAGTCATATGCTCCCTCTGTCCTGTCTTATTTAATCAGATGGATTAAAATAGTTAAAAGTCTTTATTTAAAAAAATTCTATAAAAATTTCAAATTATCTTTAATTAAAATTATTAACTTTATTTAAAACTTAAAGTCAAACGTGTTACCCAAATGAACCAATTCAATATGCCAAGAAGCATGTATCAAATTTTTCTCAAGTTTTTCCTCACGAAGTCAATGTTTATTTTCACTAGATAAATTTATTTCATTAACTTCTGAGATAATTTAGTCTAAAATTTTTAATTTCAGGTATAATTATTATACTTAATTAATTATTAAACTGTATGAATTGATTATTTTTCTTATATTTAAAAACAGAGGGAGTACAAATGTATGTCCAAAAAGATTTTGTATTCCAAAGCAGAAAAAGAAGCAACAACACTAGTTAAAGATTAAATTAATAATATATATATATATATATATATATGTTAAAAACCTTCAATTTTAAAAATTATTTCTAAAGACTCAAAATCTAGAACTCAGAAAAAGTTTTACTTTCAAGACCTAGAGATCCACACTTATTAACTGCAATGTCATATTTCAAATATCTTCAATTGCGTGTGATAACATCAGTACAGTAACCACTAATTAGTTAAGCATCTGGAACTTCATAAGAAACCAATCAGATAAAAATAGTATAAACGTAACATACCCATCTCCAAAAAGCCATGCTGATGACAAACTAGCAGTTTCAGACAAAGCAGACCTCCATTTTTGTACTTTCTCTAGGTCATTTCTGAACCTATCTTCATGAGCAGCCATGGCTTCGCCAAAGCTATTCCTCTGATACTGAACATCCATGGGATCCACCTTGTAAAAGATAGGCATAACCATGTGGTTCTTCTCCTTCTTACATCGAATGATGTGGGCCAGTTCATCCAGGCACCACGTTGAAGTAGCATAGTTGGTAGAGAACACAACAATTGAAACCCTGGATCTCTCTATGGCCTTAAGAAGAGAAGGTGCGATCCGTTCTCCTTTCCCGAGCTTCTTGTCATCGATGAAGGCGTTGATTCCTTTCCGGCGCAAAGCATCGTAGAGAATCACAGTGAAGGAATGGCGAGTATCTTTGCCTCTGAAGCTCAGGAAAACATCATATCTGTACTCTGTTTCGCTGGTGAAGCTGAGGCTTGAAGGTGCTGCCACTTGAACCGCCATGGCTGCGATAACCGCAATGGTGAAGATAGGTATTGAGATTTGCAAACTCAATCGAAAGAAAAATTCATAAAACGTTTGATCCTCCCACGACGCCACGAAGAAGGATATGAGGGGGAAATTTCTAAGAAGGACCAAGGAACGAACTTGTTTGTAAAAAGGACCGAGGTCCATCAAAGGATTTAAGGTTTACTGAAAAATTACTTGAAGGGTCAAGGACCTTAATTCCTTTGAAAGACCTATGTCTTTTTTTCTAAATATTTCATCGCTTGGTCTTTTTTAGCAATTTGCTCATTTTTGACGCCGTCCCATTGATTTCTTGTGGTTGTCTCACCTGTCAATGATGAAAATGTATTCAAATAAATAAATAAAGGTGCAGAAATTGATGCCCGGTTTTTGTTTGTCCTGTAGCTAATTTTCAATTTAACGTGAAAAAATATTGGAGATTAATGGAATTATGGTAAAGATATTTTATTCAATTCACCATTAAACTTGGCCTACGGTAAGGATATTTAAATCATTTTCTAGAGCAGAATAAAAAAATTAAGATTTATTCAAATTTCATTGAGATATATAATATTTTTAATGTAAAGAATTAACTGCATAAAATATACAATATGAAACATAGGTTAAAATTTTATTATTATTGAAGCATAATTTTCATTTTTAATTTAACTTTTATTTCATTCTATTTTTTTATCAATACATTCTAAAAAATTAATATAAACCTTTTCGTATGTATTAATTTGGATTTATTTGATACGTTATTATAAGTCTAAAGCTCTAAATGCCTCTTATCAACCCATCTATATTTTTGAATTAAAAAAAATTAAACAATTGAAATTTAATAAGATTCATTCATTTATTTTAATAATGGTCTAACTTAGTACTAAGTTTATATTGTGAACACTACTCGAATCAAATTTTAATAATTTAGATTCATTTATTTATTTATTTATGTTATAATAATTACATAAGATATTAAATCTTAGCAATTATTCAATTTTAGATTCAAAAGTAAGGATATGATAAGGAGAAGAAAATAAGAGAAATGATAAGGAGAAGATCCACACCTGTTGAAATAATACAATTTTCTATAAAATTTATATTTGATATTAACATTAATATAGAATGTGATGTACACAAATATGTAATGGATTTCACAAATGTACGGGTTATAAAAATAGTACATGGTAAATCAATGTCGTTTCCAAAGAGAACCAAATTAATTGATAATTAGGCATCAAATTTTTTATTTTCAATTAAGTTGAGCAAAACAAAATTGAATTTGATTTCACAAAATAAGCTTGAATTTATAAAAATGCACTAAAATTAATGTTATAACAACCACAATAGTCAAGGCAACCTATGAGGGATAATTCCTTCTTCAATTTATAAAACATACAATTACCAATTAAATGCACTTAATATTAGTTTGTTAATCTAGAGTATTAATAAGAATAATTATCTTTTAATTAATTAGACCTCTCTCTTAAATTAAAAATGTGATTCCTGACACAATTATGGGATAAAATTCTTTCATCTTCCCTTTCCATCTTCTTGGCCTCCTCTGTATTTTCAAACTTTTGAACCAAAATTTGGATATTTTAGATTTGATTTTTATAAAATAATTTTTATAATATTCTCTCCCAAGCGCGTGCTCAGGTAAGTTATTGATTTCACTTCTTTTCTGAGAGGCTTGTGCTTGGCTTCTAGCAAGTTATTTGATCCCTTGCATTCATCTTGATTTTGGGGGGTGTGTGTATTACCTACTCTATAAATTTTTTGTCTTCTTCCTCTTTCTTATTTTGGTTTTTAATTCTTATTTTAGTCTGTGGCTCCTTCTTGAGTTCTTGGGCGGTATTAAAAAAAAAAAGAAAAAGATATACTTGCATTGTACGGAAATGGTATTGCCAAGCAGGAGATATGACGTAAATGCATAGATTGTGATTTCATGAATATGAATCAGTGAAGTGATCAAGGGAAAAGAAGTCAATAAGTTCGGATTAAAGAAGGGTGGATTGTGGAAATTGTGAGAACTAATAAAAATTTTGGCCTCATTTGGTACAAAAGATTGAAGGCTTAGGCTTGGGACTACTATTAAATAATTTTACATTTTTATGTCTGGCAGGTGAAAATGAAAATTTTAGTGCTAAGCTCAATCCCATCTAAATGAGACTACCTAATACCACTTCCCTTTGGTATTGAAAAATTAATCTTAGGATTGAAAATCTTCAGACCAAATTGCCCCTTACTCTATCCCCCTCCCTCATCAGAGTCGTCCCCAAAGGACTTGGCCTAGGCTCGTCCCTAGAATCTCGCATCGTCTCCTAAGGCATGGTGGGTAAGCTGCGGACGTTATTCTTCAGATGATCAAAGAGGGTAAAATTATAGGCAGAGTAGTACTTCTCGCCAGCCAACCTGGTACTAGCAAGACCGCCATTGCCATGGGCATGGCCAAGTCCTTGGGCCTTGAGATTGAGGTGACTGAAGGTAAAGTCGTTGAAGTCCAAATTGACAAGCTGGCAGTGGCTGGTGCTGCGTCAAAGACTGGGAAGTTGACGTTGAAGATGACGGAGATGGAGACGGTGTATGATTTGGGAGCCAAGATGATCGAAGCATCCAAACACCCCCATGAGCAAACTCGAATGAAATTGACATCGGTGAGATGTAGATGAGAGCGAGGGCTAGCAGAGGAAGAGGGTGATTGACGGCACGGCAAATGAGAGCGAGAGCTAGCGGATCACAGAAGAAGAAGAAGGACTGTTTTAGGTTACAATTTTATTTTATTTATTATAAGGGGTATTTTAGTGTTTTAATTTATATTTAATTATAAAAAGATAAATATTCCCCATAATTATTACTTCATACCAAACCTAATTTTAAAACTCCATTTTCAATCTCAATTTCAATCCCAATCCTTCTACATACCAAACAGGGCATTGGAAGTCTCTACATGATTTCAGTGTTGGTGGAGTTGCAGACGCACTGTTACAAATAATTAAAGTATTCAAAATACTTTTTAAATAATTCAGAAAAACATATTACACGCTTAAGAATTTAAAATACTTTTTACCATTTTGTTGAAAAGAGACATAATATTAAGTACCCTTTCCATTTTAAATTATAAGACGCTTTTAAAAAGTTTATATCATAAAATACAAGATATTTTGATAAAAATAAGGTTTCATTAATTATACTTTTTTAATATTATCATTCTCATTCCCATTATATTCTCTTTTTTTATATTCCTTCATAAATGAAGTATTAAATGGAGGATATTCTTAAAATTTTATATTTTTGTTTTTAAAAATAAAATTGTAAAGTATATTTTATAAACTTTATTGGTATACATAATCTTATATATTTATAAATTATTTAAATTACAATAAATTCTTGTTATTAATATTATTAGGATTAAATGATAATGTGAACCTAAACTAAGTGGTCAACGTCAATGTCCCTTGCTGCTTGATTGGTCCTCAGCCACAAGGCAATTTCATGTGTTGCTGTGCGAATGTCATCAACATTGTTGGTGGCCAAACATGGAAGGCTTGTGGCGAGCGCGGAGAAGTTGAGCGCATCACGGCCTTGGAAGTGCAGGGTGGCACCAACATCTTTGGCGTTTGATGCCTAGCTCCCAGATTTCCAACACCCATTTTCTCCACTTCCTCTTGCAAACGCCTCTATTAGGAGAAGACAAAGCACCATGGGAGGTCATAGCAAAGCTTCTTGAAGAAGAAGGCATGTCCATGCACAGAATGTAACAGAAGGAGGCTGAAGGAGGGGAGGGTAGGACATGGGAAGAGAGAGAATTAGAAGCTTGGAAGCTAAAAAGGCCAAAAATGATGGGCCCCACTATACATAAAGAACAGACACTAATTCCTAATTAATGATGGGTGAGATCATCCCAAATTTTTTAATTATTTAAAATTTAAAATATATCACACATAAATTTAGGGTTCAAATTGCCCGTCAACCTATAATTTAAAGTTTAAATTATCATTTAACTCATATTATTGACACATTATATTAGGAATGGAGAGCGACCGCTTGAGAATAGGAGGAAAGGAGAGACATATAAGAATAGCAAAAAACACCACATCTTAACTCAAAACCTCAAAATTTAAGTTTATAAGTGCTTTCTCTTTATTATACATTAATGATTAAGCCCAACTTTTTTGATGCAAAACTTCCCACATTATCTTATGTCTACTCACATTTAAACAACCTAATTGTAATAACCTTGATAAGTAAAATAAAAATAAATACATAATTTGTTTAAAGTATATTTTTAATTTATTAATGTTTAAAACAAATATGATATTAAAGACTGTTGGTTCGGGTTCGCATTTCGTGCTCATCACCCACAAGGTGATCTCAGCCCTTCATTTTCTCCCAAAATGATCTCTGCCCTTAATTTTAAATTAATTTTTAAATATTTTAAATATTATATTTTTGAAAATAAAAATTGTACAAAATTATTATTAAATTTTGAGTGTCTAAAAATATATCTAGATAGTCAATTTGTAAAAATTATAAAAAATTAATATTATATTGGAGCATTCAGATTGTATCTGGACTATCTAAAATATATTTGAACAGTTAATTTATAAAAGATGTAAAAAAATTTATATTAAATTGGATCATCCAGATTAAATATAAACTACTAAATTTGATTATCAACAGATTTATTAAAAATTTGATCTTTTTTATGCATTTTTATTTTGATTAATATAAAATAAAATAAAAATTTAAATCTGGATTGTCAAGATCCTGTCAGGAGTGATGTGTATGATAGTACTCATTATGTAATGAGCATCGAGAACAGTCCAAATTTAATATTAAATTTTTTTTATAATTTTTATTTTCAAAAATATAATATTTAAAATATTTAAAAATTAATTTAAAATTAAGGGCAGAGATCATTTTAAAAGAAAATGAAGGGCTGGAATCACCTCGTGGGTGATAAGCACGGAATGCGAATCCTGTTGGTTCAGTGAAATTGTGCATATAATTCTTTCATT